CGGCTCCCGGGCGCTGCGAGAGGGCGGGGACGGCGGCCGCAGCGCGGCCCGTGGGGGCTGCCGGAGGCCTGTCCCACCCGAGACTCTGGCTAATGGGACAGACACCGCGTCGGCCTACGTGCGGGAGGGCACATGGCTTTTTCGTCCTCATGGCGTGCTGCTTTTTTGTTACTGCTGTTCTTGCGCTAGGAAGTGTCAGCAGTTGAAATACAAGTTACAGAGCTCAAACACCCGTAGAGCTCTGGTCTAAGCAAGCCCCACATCAACCTGAGGAAAGCACGGTAGGGGCAGAGCTAATGGCTCGCGTCTAGGTACTGCTGAGATGGGAAAAGCACTTAGGGAAGCCAGGCACCCTGCTCCTGAGGAAAAGGCATAGAAAATTACTCATCTTTTTGTCTTTGAAAAGAAGAGGCAAGAAGGGCTGTCTTCGTGCCAGCTCCTGTCATAAGCTGCCCCCACAAAAAGGCTGCTTGTAATGCTAACCTTATTAGGGGTATGTAAGGAGTGACCGTGTCCTTTGCAAATGCGGAGTTAATGAAAAGAAGTAGGCCGCTGTGGCACCCACCTGGCCGAGTTGAACTGTTTGTGTCAACTTTCGTATTGTTTACTATTGCTGAAAAATGTTGCTCGACTAGTTTGGGGGTTTTTTACATGTCATTATGGTAATTTTCTGCAGTAAATCCTACTAAGATAAAGAAATTAGTGTAGAGGTTGACAGCTTTTTACAATAAACTTTGGAAAAAGTGTTGATGTGGATTGAATTCTAATAGTAATGTTTTGAAAAGACTCAAATCTAGAAACAAGCTCACAGTTCAAAAGGACCTATAGTCATTTATTGGGGACAGATGATTTAGAATGCTCTTGTGGCCTATGATTCTTACTGATGCCTTAAAAAAAAAAGTATATGTTGAGCTTTTCTTTTGATGATAAGATGTTCCTGAGCTACATCTAGGGACCCCATCTGTAAGAAAAAGCCTAGAAGAATAACTTTTATAAATAATATGTTTAAAATAAAAAAATGTTGGGGAATCAGCTAAGGGTGAGCCAAGATGGCAGGACTTGGTGTTTGCTCTATTGCTCTGTTTCCCATCACAGAAAATTTTGGAGGCAGTTGAAATTTGATTACTTAGCCAATATAGCATTGTTAGTTTGAAGATTTGCAGTTATCAGACTGTTTGTTTTGATGGTAATTGAAAAACCATTTTCAAAAAAAGTTATTCTGAAGAAAACACTCTGGATAAACAATAGCTAAAAATTTTTTGCAATTTATATACATTATAAAGTGTTATATATATATATACACATTATAAAGTAATAATGTATACGTATCATATGCCATAAGGAATATATAAATGCTTTCAGAGTTACTTTATCGGAAAGATAGAGGGAATAAATTAGGATATTAAGGTTTTTTTTAAAAAAATCGGTAGCGTGTTAGTACTAGGCTTTATTGTACCATTTGTATTTCAATGCAGGCGCCTCTCTTTGTAAGTTATTTCAAAAGAACGCACTCCTCTGTTTTTACTGTGTAGGAGCTAATTATGGTACACGCATGATCGACACAAGAGAATGAAATGTGATAAAAGTTGCAGAACATCTTCTTGAAATATGGTAGAGGCACTGGTGTGTGTTGCCAGTTGTGTCAACCCATCTCAACTTTTCCAGAATCTTTAATGTTTGGAATATCACTGGAGATAAATGTTCTATTCCACGGGTGATAGATACTGTTAAGATCAGTGTCATGGTTGCTGAACATAACTCTTGGAAGTGTTGGAAAAGCGAAACAGCGAAAAATCTGCAAAACACACATTTCCTTAATACGTGGTGCCAGAACAGACCAGTGTTGCCATGGCAGCAATGAGGTTGAGGCCATGTGTTCCCATTCTTCTACTTTTCTCAAGGAACATTTGACATGACTACACAGATTTATATTCTGCTCTTCCCCTTCTCTCAAGGACTGTTTTGCAGTACTTCTGTGGACCTTATCTCTCATTCTTCCTCTTTTCCCACAAAAACAGTGCACCTCTTACACCAAGGGATGTGCTGTGTCATTACTCAAGAAACAATGGCTTGACCACAGTCCCACCCACTCACACATACATACTTAGATAAATACTAGCCCAAGTTTGTATCTAAGTTGGAGGGATGATAATCTGATACCAAATTGTAGGGACAGATTGACAGATTCATGCTCCTTGTCGTGCCCCCCCCCCCCCCCCC